CTCTCGAATCCGTCGGTCTCTCCTCGTCACTCGAGTCTTCCGCCGCTAACTCGAATGGTCCTCTACTCAACGCATCTACATGTGCCATCCGCACGCCCGGTCGGAACTTGACCGTTAAATCGAATTCAGCGATCCGGTCCCACCAACGACACAATTGAGTTGACCCCGACTGTGCTTTAAGTCCCAGAATCGCGCTGCAATCGGATACGACCACGAACTTTATCCCATGTAGATAATGTCGGAATCGTTCTTACGCCCAAACCACTGCTAATTGTTCTAATTTTTTCGAATGGTACCGTTGCTCGCTCTGTGACAGCTTCCTACTGATTGCGTAAATCAATCTCGGTTTCTTCTCCGCTCGTTTAATGAGCATCGCTCCCAGTCCGACCGTGCTCGCATCGGTGTGTAGCTCGGTCTCCCGCTTCGGATCGAATCTGTCGAGTATCGGCTCTTCCGCTAATTTCTGTTTTAGGCTCTCGAACGCCGCCTCGCACTCGACCGACCACACGAACTGTTTTTCCTTTCTCAAGAGCATTGTGAGCGGATTCGCAATCGTGGCATAGTGCACGATGAAGCGTAGTGCACGATGAAAGAAACTCGTCAACCCCAGGAATCTCCGTACTTCGTGCACATTTCTCGGTTTAGGAAACTGCTCGACCGCCATTAACTTCTTCGTTCCCGGTTCGATTCCTCCCTTCGAAATTTTGAATCCGAGGAATTGGACCGTCGGCATGAAAAACTTACATTTATTCAGCCGAACCGTCATTCCTGCTAGTCTCAATGCTTCCAGCACATTATGAATTTGATCCATCTGCTCTCGTATATCGTCCGCCGCTGTTATCAGATCGTCTAGGTAGGGGTGGACCTGTGCCCCTCCTGCCGGGCGCGAATTGGCCCTCAGTCGTAACGAACGCCGCTTTTTCCGCTGATTCTCGAGACATGCCTATCTGGAAATACCCCCAGGCTAGATCAAATGTTGAATAGAATTCTCGACCTCCGATCTCGTCCAGAATGTCATCAATCAGCGGCAGCGGGTAGTTCGATTTCACTGTTTGAGCGTTGAGCTTTCGATAATCGATAACCATTCTGAAGCTTCCGTCAGGTTTCTTGACCAATAGAACGGGGCTCGCGTAATCCGAATGTAATTCTTCGATCATCCCCGCCTCTTTCATTTGTTTCAAAATGTTCACTAATTCTTCTCGTTCCGCCAAAGACAGTCGAAACGGTTTGCTCCGTACTGGGGCGCTCCCTGGTATTTCTTTAATTTCGAATTCCTCTCCTTCTGCTCGACCTAACTCTTTCATCGTAGTCGCCACTACATCCCTATAGCTATTTATCAGTCGAAGCAGTGCTTCCTTCCATTCTTGTGGAATATTCTCGTTCACCTCTATATCCTTCAGCTCTATTCTGACGATTCCTCGACTCGATTCGCTGAGATACGCTGTCTCGACAACTGAAAATATTTTTCTCTGCTCGGATCTACAATTTCCGCCCGTGCCAGAATGGTGCCTGGATCCACCTTGATTTCGCAGCTTCCTCGATTCACTACCGGTATCACAACACCGTCTTCTTGAATTTCATAGATCGTGTCTGTTCCCTCGCTGCCTTCAAAGCGAATGAGACCGTCTAGTTTCTCTATTGGCTCCGCTTCGATGAAACATATTGATCGCGGCGAAATTCTCGTTTCCTTCTTGGCTCTCAGCTTGCATCTTTTCTCCGCTAGAATTGGGTACAATGCTTGCAACATCGGGAACGTAGTCTCCTCCAATATCCAGGAGTCATTCTCGTGCATTATAGTTACCACCCCTGTCTTCAAGATATCTCTTCCAATCAACATCTCTTTATCATGTAACGCCCCACTCGGGAGAACCGTCAGCGTTGCCTTTTCGAAGCGTAATCCCTCGATCTCTAAATTCACCACTGTTTGCCCTAGCGGCGAACATATGCCTCCGACCCCTTTAACGTTTCTCAAGTCACTCGTTGCAGCGGCCTTCGATTCCGACCTCTAAGAGCCAGGAGAACTCGTGTCAGCCGCGTCAGAAGTTGAGCTTAAAGAGATGTACTCGTTCATACAGCACGCCGCACTTTCAACCGATGGCATGACTTTCGAATACATGATCAACGAAATTTCACGCGAAGTCCCTCCCCGATCGCCGAAAACGTCAGTGACGGATATCCTCCTCGACGTACTGAGACGACTGGTGGATCAAAAGGACGTGACGGTCTTCAGGCACCTCGACAGCCGACGGGCAAACGTTCTGAGAAACTTGATCGCGCTCCCCGCAGCAGAGAACAGGAACCTTTCGAAAATCATCGAAGCTCGGAAAATTCTCCCGAAAGAGATGAATGTAACGGGTAAGATGCTGGAAGAGAAATTGGACATTCGTGCCACATCCCGTTGTGAGAAGTGCTTATGCTCACAATTCAATCGCTCTCAAATTACCATTACATTACTCAAATTACCTTGCAGTGCGTCGCCCGACGCTTGTGCGCGACTGGAGCATACAGAAAATCTTCGCGTATTCAGAAATCGGATTTTTCGCTTGGAAGCGGAAGGCAGCCCCGCCGCCAGTTCAAAGAAGAAGCGTCGCATCGCAAAGCGAGCCGAGCGGAAAGACTCCAGAAAGAAGATCGGTGTACACGCAAAGCGAACCTCTCGAATCTCCGCACCGAGAACAATGTAGGTGTCCTAGAAATGCATTTCAATTATTATTACCGGGACCAGCTGTGCGGATCGGACACAGCTGTGCTGTGATGTCGTCAGCTCGGCACAGCTGTGTTGTGATGTCGTCAGCTCGGCACAGCTGTGCCGTCTTGTTTAGCGGTGCAGTCTTGCCACAATCATTTTCTTCTTCCAGCCGCAATCCCGAGCACTCTCCGCCATATTTTCTGCAACAAATCCACAATGAATCCACAAATGAACGGACTATGGGCTCAGATCGGCGAGCTCGGGAATCGCCTTGGAACGGAGAAACTGAAAATCTCGCAGAGAGCTTCTGAACAGCTGGCCTACGTGAGGCCGGGGAAACTCTCGGGTGAAAAATTCGACGATTTGGTCATGAAAGTCTCAATTTTTATGTACAAGCTCGTGAGACTAGACGCTGATCTTTCGGATTTGCTCTTGATTCGGAAACTCAGCTCGCTAAATGGATTCGGCGTACCCACGGTGACCAAATCGTTCGCAATGCTCGTCTCCCTCATCGCCAGAGAGTCTGCTCTCACGCTCGAGCGTCCGAGTATCTCCATTCCCGCGATAATAACGTTAGTTACCGAGGACTTCCGTTACATTCAAGGAGCCTGCTCATTCTGCTCTCAATTTCGAACGAACAGATTGAAGCTTCCTTTCGAATACGCAAGGCCCGATTTGGAGGTTGTAACCGAGCTGAGGGAGCTCGTCAGACGGCATTTCAACAGAAAGCATCGCCCGAAGGCGCACCCGTTGACGAAAAAATGGATCAATTCGTTGAAAAGCCGCTATACGCGAGCACAAGTTCAGTAATGCCTCTGGGAGCGTTCCTTGAATTTCTCCAGTTCGGCGTTCTAATATATGAAACTCAGCGACGATCGTATCGATTAACGACCGGAAATAACGCGATGCTAGACATGATCGGCGACGGAGGGGCGCCCTTCCTCAAGTTCCTGAACACGACCGCGGAAGACATCTTTAAGTCGACCCGCAAGTCCAAGCGCGGGGACTCAAGCTCGGATGATGATATCGATGACCAGGGAATCCCTGAAGAGGAACCGGGTCCGTCACAGGGAGGACGCAGCCAGGGGAGCGGATCAGGCTCTCGAAAGAGATGCAAGCAGTCGGCGGACTAAATCGTAATATGTGAATAATAAAAGCGGAATCTGAAAATTAGATCGGTGAACCATGCCGCAAACAGGATATCAATCGTATTCTCTTCGCATCTGACAATGAGATATTTCTCGAGGCACAGTCATGCTGCGGTATCAGCGCTCGGCAAACCAACGCCGAGCGGTCGATGATCGGTTCAGCGAACCCCGCTGAGTCTTTCAGTCTTTCAGTTTCAGAGGAGTTCACGGCATGACCGTGTCGATGATAATTCTCATGGCACATGTGTGCCGAGGGTCTGTGCCATGATTCCTGACACGGTCGTGAGAAATATCATGCCAGCACATGTCTGCCCGGAGTCTGCCCAGAGGATTCCTGTCCAGAGAAATATTCCAGACTGCCCTCCATATGTCATCATTACTATACTCGGGAATCCGACTCGAGAGGATACCTGCGCCGATGAAGAAAATCACGGCACAGTTCTGCTGCAATGCCAACTCTGAGCATTCAATGATCGAAACAGCAGTGCCACAATCCTGACTGCACAGTCGTGCTGTTTTGTCAGTTCTCGGCACGCAAACGCTCAGCTGTCAGTGACCGGCACGGCAATACCGAAAGCTGACATCGTGGCATGACTGCGCCGAGCGAGTCGA